GCAACAGGCCACCGCCTAGTTGATCGGTCGTCTTTTCGATTGTGGCGCACAGACTGAGCTAACTTGCCTATCCAGAATAAAACTGGCTGAACGCTCGCCGCGCGGACTGACGAAAAGATCGCCAAGTGTGGTAATCGCTGAAATTCTCATGTGCCTATCCAAACCCCTCAAACTGATCCCACTCACAAGTTCGCTAATACCAGGGCTGTTATTCAGCAGATTAATTAGCGGCAGCATATTGACTTTCGAATATTAAGAGCTAAAAGTGAGTAGACTTTCCAAGAAAATATTGAGTACTCAAATGCAGACACAATTAAACATAGGGTCGGTATAGGTGTGTTGTACTGGACTGATAATTTGTCAGTGACTGATGAGTTAGGAAATAGCTCAGCTTTTAATTGGATGATCGATCTTTTAATCATATAGCCAATTAAATGGCGAGAAGTTCATCAACTATTAATTACTAACTTGATAACTAGGTATATGATTTTAACTTAGGGTAAATGACTTTGTCCAGTTCGAAATAGTTACATTGTGATTGATTTTGAACCAATTATAGCCATCCAATCAATAAAAAGGGGTTGCTAAGCTATACTAAGCCATTACGCACAAGATTTAGACCCAAGCAATTCACTTTCATTATACTCGCTCTTTTTTCTTTATGGTGAGCAAATGGCCTAAGTGGTACAATCCTCAACAAATTATGCCCCTGCACTCCCAAATGTAGATTCAGTTCAGGAAACAGAATTGTCTGAAGGCCAATTAAGAGGAGATCTAGTTTTTTTGTCAAAGGTTGAGTTATCCCTAAAGTTATTTATCCAATAAAAAGTAACTGAGAGATCATAAAAACTTCCTAACTTCCATTTTAACTAGTGAATTCAAAAGGATATCAATCCATAACTGGATTAATTATAGCTAAGCAATTGAATAGAAGACTTAGTGTACGTTCTTACCTAAAGGAAAGTTGGTATCCCGAGCCGCCACTATCGACACACACCGCGACCGTGGGCAGGGTCGTGAAAGCACACAGGATCACCGACTGGCCCGGTTGGTGGGCATCGTCCACAACCCGCAGGAGGTCAGTGTTGGCTGGATCGGAGGATTTCCTCCTTCCAACACTGAGCACACTGGAGCTTCTTTTGGCGCCCAGAAGCCCGGCCGCAGACATGAGGACACTA